ACAAATGCTGGCAATTTGGCTTTACTCTATCTTCAGTTTGCAGTTAAATAGGTTTTTCTTTTTCGAAAAATAGATGATTTATAAGGAAAAAATATATAAACACTCTTTAAGCAATTTGGCTACAAGCATTACATCACTAAAAAATTCCACAAGGAATAGCAAGAGACTTTGAACACATGGGCGTATTTCTATTGTCACAGCACGATGAGCTAGGCTGATTTGAGAAGTTCTCTGTGTGTGTTTTGGTATCGGATTTTTACTCGTAGGTTTATTGCTCCTTTGTCTTCTGCTCTTTCCTTGGGCTATAACTATAAAACAGAGGTGCTGTCCTTAATCACACTACAAGGCAACATCATTCTTTTGAGACCTAGGAATGAGAGCACAGGGGCTACCGTTGCTTCAGCAGCCTTACAAAGACTATGGCTAGGACATCAGCGAGTGTGCAGCAAGGCACACGAGAGAAATCTCCTGGCTTACTCAGGGTACTTTGGTTTGGAGGATGAGATAGAAAACTGTTAAGTGCGCCTTAGCTGCCGCTTCACATCTGTTGTATAATATAGCAATTTTCAAAACCATGCAAGGAAGAGATCAAGGGGCCAATTTACACTGTGTCCTGGCTCTTCTTGGCATTCTTGGAGCAGGCTTCAGGAGACCGTGGGAAGTACTGCTTAGCTACGCTAGGAATAAGTGCGTACACATGAACCTGGTGTGAATTTTCTAGAAAGTATCTGAAACGGTGCCTCACGGAGCCTTCGCAGAACACTTGTAAAGGGTGGAGTCAAGGCAAGCTGAAGGTCAGGAAAGAGGTTAGAGAGGAGCAGAGAAAGGGGAAGGGACCAGACAGTTAAAGTGCGACTTTAAAATAGAATTGTTTTAAAAGCAGAAGAGAGGTTCTAAGTCACTGTTGTGGCAGAGGCACGGCTTTACCCAGGGAAGGTGGCTTCCTTTCCCCTTCAGATACAGCGAACTGGACAGAGCTTGAAAGATCTAAAGCTGCTACGCATTGTTCGGGAGGGGCCAGGAGCTCCAGGCTGCTGAATAGTTAGTGCAAGGGATTCTTGGGGATAGTTGTGCAGTGAATAGAATTGGGAGGAAGGCATTAAAAAAAAAAAAAAAAAAAAAAAAGAAGAAGAAGAAGAAGAAATAAGAAAGTTGTCCTGGTTCTCGTCACTGATGCCCTTTAGTTGAATTTGCTTCCTAAATGAAAGTACTTACTTTAAAAATGAAAAAAAGAAATGAATGCCTTAAAAAGATGACAACCTTGCTCAGAATGTAGATTAGCCAGTAACACACAGAGCAGCCAACAAGCCTCCAAAGGTCTTTGCACAAAGATCAGAGCGCGGGCTTCCAGCGAGTGATGGAAATAGCCATCTAAGACCCTGACAAATGGCACACTACCTAGGGCAGTTTATTGTGGACTAACATTTTCAAGACACGTAGATCCTACAGAAGAATACTGTTCAAATGGAATGTTTAAAATAACATTTATTAATAAATAGCTTATAAATTCTAAATTAATAGATTCCTGTTCAAATTTTGCTTTGGTCCTTGAATCCCACTGTATACACACACATACATACATATATATTTTCTTAGATGGTTTTTATTACTCAAAGAGAGGGACATTCTACCCTAACCAGAAGGCTAGTTTTATAGCAGTTACTGGTGCTTCAAAAAAAAAAAAAAAATAATAATCCCAGCTAAGGGCTGTTTTTTTTTGTTTTTGTTTGTTTATTTGTTTTTAACTGAAGCTGGTTTATGATTTAAACTGAAGCTGGTTTGTGATTTCATTGGCGAACTCGCAGCCACTACAATTTGCTTCACTAGCAGGCAACAGTCACCCGAACACTCCCACTGACGCCTCTCTTGGACCTTGCACAGCAGTTTACTTACTGACTAGATTAGCTGCACGGAGCACAAGCTGAGTTAGTCACCCAAATTCTCACCAGACACACTGTGATGGCTCACATACTACTGGTCTCCCACAGGTTGTGTTAATATGGTGACCTGCACGTGTTAACATACGGGTAGGAAAGGGAAGACTAGTATCACTGGGGAAACACCATCTGGCTTTGAGAGTAGAACATTCATCCAGGGCTGGGGCTTTCAATCTCCCTATCCCAGCATCACAGATCGAGGAAGGTATCAAAGAGAAACAATGCCTGTATCTAGGTGAGAATCCACCTGGCAGAAAGGCTCTCCGGCGACTAAGTTACCAGCTCTCAGCACATTCGGCAGGGAGGGACGGGAGAAGTGGCCAGGAGGTTGGCAGGGACTTGAGAAGCAGATACAGTGATAGAGACACACAGGAGTAAGGAGAGGCAGTGTTGCTGGGGCTTCCCTTCCCTGCTTTGGATGGGGGACTCAGAGAGCCAGCATCTCTGATTCACAAAAAGTCTGCATGGCTGACAACGTAATTGGCTGAGTGAGATAATGGTATTAAACGGTTGCTCTCTTGAGGTGGCCGGTGGGTGTATGACAGGCACTGCCAGGGTCATTCCAGGAGGACTCTGCTGACCAGCGAAGGCTGACCCTTTATGTGGGATCTTTCCCGGGGATAGACCAGGAATTAGATTTTTCTCTTTGGGACTGTAGGGAGTACTGAGAACGAGCTGGCCCCGTCAGCGCAGTATCTCCCTACGCCAAACAAACACACCTCAAGGCCCGCACGTAACAAGAAGGCAGTTCATTCTAATTATATGTTGAGAAAGGGTTGCTGTGTGTGGTGGCTTGCCTGCTTAGCATAAAAAACAGACATAATTAAGCTATAAATTATGCACATCAGTCAAGCTGTCTCTGAATTAAGAAAACGCAGGCAAGTTCTTAACTGCAAAGCTTGCCCGTTTAACAGCTAAGTATTTCAGGTGAGAGGTGGGAGAGGTATAAACTAAAAGTCATCATTCCAGTGGCAGGGCACTTCCTGGACATTGTGGTATTACTTGTGGATTAAAAAAAGAAAGAAAGAAACCCTTACAATGCATGCAGGCAGGAGAGAAAGGGTCTTGTTTACTCAAAGCCCTGCCACTCCAACAAGCATCCCTTGTCTTTTGAGGGGAAGCAGAACATCCTGGCCTAAGGAAGGAACTTTGTAGAAGATTACTTTTGATTTCAAACCAGAGCAGTGAATATTAACTTCTTTCAAATCTAGGAATTAAACATTTCTTAGGAAGCCAGTTCAGTTAGACCATTCAGTTACTGCTGGAATTCGGAAAAAAAAAATACTAACAGTATGTATTCAGTATTTAAAATACTTGAAAATGATACCCTTACATTTCCTAAAATATAACAGAAAATCTTGTGCACCCCATCTTCGTTCTTCCCTTTTCTTTTTCTTGTTTTGACGTTTTATTTATTTATTTATTTTTGCATTTGTTTTTTTAATTTCAGGCCATATATCCAAGTCTCGAGCTTTACAAACAGTCAAACTTGTCTCTCAAAAACACAGCATACATGGAAAAATTGTTGATAGATATTGATTTTAAAAGTAAGTTATTAGATAAAACTGAAACTAGTTATAAAAATCATGCTTTGGAGCCCTCGTATTTTCTTTTTTTCCTCTAAAATAGATTTTTTAAACTATAGTGAGAGAAAAAGTACATCCTTCCTTTACTGAACTTTTATAAAAGTGACAGATTTTGTAAAATACTGTTCTTTTAAAACCTACACTGTTCATAAACACACACATTCAGGCACACAAACCCACATGTGCATACACACACACACACACACACACACACACACATACACACAGGTTAGAAGGTGAAGTATTTGGGCGGAGATGAAACACCAGCATATGCCTAGGCTGCTAGTGAGAAACATTAGCCCCTATTATTAGTGAAACACGATATTAAAACACCAGCAGAGTAGAATGGCTTGTTTCAAGGAGGCACAACTGTGGTTGATCTGCTTTTCATAATGGGCAAGTCCATGGAAGTTGCTGATAATACAAATCAGAACTGTTCATAGGAGTGCATCAGCTTGGCCACATCTACTGACCTTGATTGGCAGCCAAAGAGTCAGTCTGTTCTCACAGACTGCAAGCACCCTGGGGAAACACTGGCCTTGCTTTCTCCCTCTCTATCTCCAGGAGTGAGCCTGTTTTTGCCCACCAGAACAGCAGAGTTCCATAGGCTTAGGAAAAATAATAATAATAAATCTTAGGCTATTAGCAGCTGATGATTGAACAATGTAATCTGTGTAGTGAACAGAGCCCTTCTGAACTATTATATAGTGCACAGATTTTTCGACATTATAGACAGGCCATAGAAACGAGTTGTAATTCGAGGGTGTGATGTCAGAGCCCACATCCTAATTTGAACTTTCACAGTTGGGGTTTACAAAGTCCCCTTCCCTAGTGTCTCCACAGCTGGCGTTCAATAGTGCTTCGCCTATAACCAAACCACTTTTTATTTGCCCTGGTTATTAAAAACATTAAATCAGGCACATTAAGCATCTCCTGGTTACTATATTGTGAAAGGCAGGAGCTGAATGAACTCCAGCTGTGGGTTAGACTCAAGTGAAGCAATGGCTAGGTCCACAGTTTCAGGATTTGCTTTTTTTCTTCTTTAAACATCATTTTCTTCTTCACATGCAAAGTGGAAGGGGAAAAGCAAACCAGAGGAAAGTCAAAATGAAGAGTAGTAAGTAAGGAATCCAAGGAAGTGGTATTGGAGACGAATATTGGACATTAGAGCAAGTGGATGAGAGCAGGAGAGGGTTGAGATGCTTGGTGGCTTTCTTGGGACATGGGTGGACCATAATTCCTTTTTTTCTAGCAAGAAAAGTAATTCAGGAAGGGCCATGTGTTCATTTGAGACTCTGGTGATGTCACATCACGAACTCAACATGAGTTATGACATCATCAGATTTCCCACCCAGTTACTGTGGACCCATATCACTTGACATCTACACATACCTCATTTTGGCTAAAAGCTGTAGTTTAACAAGATTCCTTGTTCCAGGCAAGGGGTTGGACTGGTAAGAATGAAACTATGGCTATATACAGGAAAGATTCCATTTATAAACAAGAAACTGGTACCAGAAAATTGGAGAAAAGCACCAACGCGCTTCCCAAGCTGATAGATATTCATTGCATAACTCCCTTTTTCTTATATAACTAAGTATAAAAGAGGACATTTCCATAATAACTATAAAAATGAAGGCCAGTCTTTGAAAGAGCTGAGGCGTCTTCCAGGTCTGAGTTAATTCTAAAAATGCCCTTTGGAGAAAGGATGTAGAGCATGCCCCAACTCTTCTCAGAGGCCAGGTCTGACCACTGCCTTTTAAAGAATAGGATTGAGGTCTGTTCTGTGAGTCGTGAGCTGACTGAGGGTGGAACTCCCCACAACCTCGCTGACGGAGGAGGACGTAGTGATGGTGTTATGCTGGATGACTGGCTGCTGGGAGCATGCTGGGACAGGGCTCACAGGAGGGCTGCTCTCTGGACCTAGAAGAGAACACAGACACACACAAATATAGCTCTTTCTTGTGGGAACTCCTCAGGAACAAATAAAGACATTATTAGACATTCACTTCATATAGAAGAGTTTCACACGTTTTCTTCTGGAAGGTACAGCCAAAGCTTTATTTTAAACTGAAGTCACTAAGCCTTCCAGGTTTATAGCTACGTGTAAAACCATACTTTCTCCATCAGTAAAAGTGACTCCTTGTGTTTGAGCCTTGGTGTGTGAACGTCCCCGTCTTGTATTTTCAGATAGCCATTCGTATATTAAATGTGGAAAAATACTCACATGTGTTGAGAGAATCTGTGTTGCTCAATCTAAAAAATTATTTGAAAACAAATTGACCTTCAGCCATGAACCATTCTTCCTCTCACCATACCTTATACAACCAACATTTAGACTACTGATACTCCAGGTGCAGAAGGGAGAGACGGGAAACGGGGCCCCACTTCGCCTGCTGGTAAACTGGAACAGCCCAGGAACTTGCCAGACTGGTGGGCAACACGCAGCATCTCTTGAGACACTGAGTGAGTCACCTAGTGCTGCCTCCCAGCCCGCAGAGCTCTCAGCATGAAGAACAGGCCACTGGTAATTGGATCCCCACAGTCTAGTTTCTTCCTGACTACAAAGCTGGAATTTGGTAATGCAGAAATGGCAGGAGTTATCAGGAAGTGGTGGGCATGGTGTTGGAGAGGTCATGAAAGATGCCTAGTAACACCCCCGGCTCCTCCGCCAGCAGGAGAGCTTGTAATCACTCAGTAATTCCAGTATATCTTCCTAGGTATGCAACTTAGACTGTATTTTTCAATTTTAATAAAATTAAGTGCAAAATTATTGACAAAAAAATGTGACTTCTAAAGAATGAAACAGTGACTTACTTAAATATCCTTGTGACTCTTTCTGCATGGCTGTAATTGGGCAGTCTTTGTGTGTTAACAATAGTTGTTTCAGCTGGGCCACCTCGTTTTTCAACATGGACACTTCATTCTGGAAAGACATATTAAAATTGTGTTGAGCAAGCCAAAAGAATGCAAACACAAAGTCCCACCCACTTCCAACAACAAAATCATCAAACTCTACCGTCTGTGTCTAAATGACATTAACATTTTGTGGCTTTCTTTAGATTCACTCTAATTTGCTATGGGTCTTTTGGAGAGACCAGAGTTTAACTCAAGTACTGAACCCTGTTTTAAGAAAACTAGACCACACCCTTTAACTGATGGGCTCTGGAACAAGGTTATATAGGTGAGAATCCCTACTCTTCACTGACCATACAACTGGAGACAGATAACACAATTTGGTTAACGTCCACCAACCTCATTTATAGTCTTTGGAGGAGGCAATCAGAAACAGAACAACGTACAAAGAGCTTGGTGACACCCATGACATGAACTTGACTTTCCAGTCACAAATAAACTAAAGAAGAACATTCCTAGAAGTCTAGACGTTACTAGAAAATTTGGGACTGTTTTTGTTTGAAAAGAATATCTCCCATTTCCAAATGCATTTGGAGCACTAGATTCAAGTGCACACTGAGTAGATAGTTAATAAACTAACAAACCTCTCAACTTCAAAAAAGCTCTCTTCATTATCCTTCAAACTATAAAAAAAAGATAATAAAAAGAAATTCACCTAAGTATGAATAAATCACTTAATGGTACAGGAAAATTGCTCTTAAATCTGAGAACATTCATGAAGGCAAATGGTACCTTCTACTTCCCAGTGAGTATGATTGATAGGGCCCAGCCATAGCCCAAAGTGACTTTCCACAATTCTGGGACAAGTGGAACAACTTTATTTTGCAGGGTAATTCCAATCAGCTATCAACCAACTCTACTTTGAGCTACACCTGAATTTGATGTTTAAATAACCTTCTTTGTTTCCTCCCACTACCAAGTTCTCCTTGTCTTTAAAACAGTATGTAGGAAAGGGGCACCTTTAGACAATTATATATATGTCTTAAAAATCCTGTTTAAAAAGAAAATAAAGTGACTCAAACTGAAACTGAGAACTCTGGTGTGTGTATATTTGTTCATGCACAGATCACAATGAAACTTGTATACTTTAGCAATGATGTCTTTCTGAACACACCATTCCTGACACCTGTGTGCCTAGCAACTCTCAACTGCAAATGATGAGAAAATGGCACTCAGAAAATGGCACAGAAAAGCCATCCTGTTTCTACTGCGACCTAGAAAACAACCAGCAAAGTGCAAAAGCGAAACATGGGGGTGGATCAGTGGATCGATGGGTCAAGGTGCTTGCCACCAAGGATGAGGACCGCAGTGCAATCTCTAGGATCCACAGGGTGAAGGAGAGAATCAACTTCTAAGTTACTGCTGATCTCAACATGTGTGACATGGTACATGCATACCCCACAATAAATAAATAATTTTGAAATTAGCAAACAAAACCAAACTGGGTTACTTTGCTTTCTTAACACTTCTTGAATTAAAAAATGAATCTTGTTTGAGGCTGATGGCCATCTTGGAGAAGGTGAATACAGCTTCCATTTTATCCCCCACTGTGTCCTGGGCCTTTATAGGCACCATTTGAGCTCTAGTCAGAGTAGTGTCCATTGCTTCTTGTTTTTGAAATACAAATAATTCATTAGTTTTCCACATTGCTGGTGGAAAACTCTTTCATGATACACTTTCTGTTTCCACAAAGCAACTTTACTACAAAATAGCACATACATTCAGGCATCTTACTAAAACCCTATCAAACTATATGGCATCAGCATTTTGTCCCTGAATAACAAAATATTTCATTAATAAACCAACATGTTGTAAGGAGAGAGGTCTTGAGTGATGTGAAGCTCTGTAAGGATATAGGAGCAAGGACCGAAGGGATGGCTCAGTCTAATTGCAGAGGACCCAGTCTGGGTTCCCAGCATCCACAAGGTAACTCACAAGCATCCATAACTCCAGTTCCGGGAGACTCAACAATGTATTCTTTAGTTTCCATGGGTACTAGGCATGTGCATAGTGTATATACAAACATGTAGGGAAAACACTTATATTGATGAAAAATAAATTATATCTAAAAAAGATGTAGGAACTCGGAGAGTGTTGTAAAAACACCATTTAAGGATATACGTGAATACGCACAGATCTCTGATGTTAGTAATTGTGTTAGTTGGCCTGGTCACAGTTTTTAACAACATCAAGAAAGAAGTAAGCACCCCCTGGCTTCAACATACATTACTCTCATGCTGTGGAGGACCTTGGAAGTCATGCACAGCAACCCACAGGAAAAGCAGCTCATTCCTAGAATTGAGCATTATAAGCAGTATCGGGGATGAAGGTGTGGCTCAGTGGTACAGTGCTTGCCTGGCATGGGAAAGGCTGTGACTGCATCCCTAGCACTACAAACCAAACTACATGTCATCACTCCTAAGGACAGTAGTAGGGGCTGACTTTCCAAATCACTCCACCCAAGTCCAAACCAAGATTCATGAACTGGTGATTTGGTGTTGCTTTTCTATTGAGAAAGACAATTACCCATCAAATGAAGGAGCTCATCTCTATTTCCATTTGCCAGTGGATCACTTTGGGTGTTCTCACAGATGCTTATTATACTCCAGACTTCATGTCTCACAAGGAAGCCCTCTCCAGCACCCTTTAGATGACCACATCTTAACAATGCACAGTGCATAGTCACAGTTTCATTACACAGAGAGAAAATAAAAACAAAACAACCTGCACATATGCACACATACTGACAAAGAGTGATTGGAACCTTCATCAAATGTCACAAGGGCCCTTTAACTTGGCAAAGGGCAAGGACTGCTGTCCTAGGGAAAGGAGGCTGGATGTGATGCTCTGCATAGACACGGAATCTAAGGGACCCTGCATCCAAAGAAGACTGGAACAGGGAATGCACAAACTCTAGACTGTGCTTCTCATAAAAATCTTTTTCAAGGTAAGAGGGCTAGAATCACCTTGAATTCATTTTGTAAGAGAAAAACCAGCAAATGTTTTAAAAGTGCATGAAAGAAGTTAAATTTGGCTTAGAAGTTCAGCAAGGAAATAAAAGCCAGAACTGTGTGTGAGGCATCAACTCACTTTATGAATGGAGAGGAAAACATCACCTTTCAAGTTCACCTTTGTTGGTTGTAATGCCAGCTCTAGGTGCTCACATAAACAATAAAAACCAAGTATAACTAATAAAATCTCTGGTTAAGTCAGTCCTTTGAGTTTTCAGTTGTGGAATGAATCTGAGTTTGCTCTTCTTAAAGCAGTTGGCTATTTCGATAATGCTGGTAGGCTCGGGATCCTGTCACACTGATGTGTTTTTAAATCCATAAATCTGCCCAAGGGTAAAATAGCAATCATGTTGAGGTGTCCAACACTTCAATAACATCTTTAAAATGGCACGTTCAAGATTCCCTGACAGGCACCTTTATAGTTTGGAGCTTTGGTAATGTCATTTTGTTATAGGATAAATCCACACCGCTTTTTTGGTATAAGCTGGAGTTTGTGCCAAAAACATAATTACCACAAAGGGCCCAGAGCCCCACCCCCCTTTTCAGATGAGCTGAGGGCAGGTTTGGTCCCCTCAGAAACAAAGGACTTTCAATTTGTCAAGCAACAGTTTCCATCTGGCCTGCTCCCTTGCCAAGTCCCAGACCTGGGTTTGTGTCTAAAATTTCAGCATCAACTTAGACCATGTGTCTTTGCACTAAAAAGGAAAAGCAATTACTTTAGTGGGTGACCAGATGATTTCCATATCCCCACTGAATGCAAGTGACCTAGGAATGCCACATCAGCATCGATCTGTCACAGCAGCACAAACAGGCACAGACTCCTTCAGTTCAAGGGCTTCTTAGAAGGAAAAGATGTCAAAGCAGTGGCTTAAGCCAACAGGCAATTTGCCCAAGACCTCACCCTGATACTTATTGGTTATATGACATTTGGGGTGATTCCTTATCTCCCCAAACCTCAGTTTCTCCTATAGGAAGATGTCAGGTTAGGCATCTTCTAAGTTTCTCTAAATCCTATACCTGTGTTGACCTCTTGGGCAAAGATTTGCTGTGAACCTAGGCAAGGAAGACTGGGGTCTGCTTTTTGTTTTCCTAAGTCTTGTTTTTCCAACCGAGAGCTTTGCGGCTGCCTAACCAGAAGGTTCTATTCTGGAAAACAACTCAAAGGTGGCAGCTGGCCATTCGGACCTTGGATATTCCATTTGGCTAGGGCTTGTTTGCTTAGCACCTTCTATTTCTGTTTACTCAAAATTTGGCTCATGGAACCAGTCTCAAGAGAGACACCTTTTTCTTTTGACAGTGAGGGGAAAGGGGTCACCCAAAGGTAGGGAAGGTTGTGACATTCTCTTCTGCATCACAGAGCATGATATACAATTCACAGTATAACAGAGAACGCGGGGCTGTTGTGTCTCTGTTCCTCTAGTCCCTAGCCTGCAAGCAGTGGTTGAAAAGCATCAGTAAGTGATGTTTGTGATCTTTTTTGCTCTCCCTCTACTGATTTTGTAGGTGAAAGTTACCAATGTCTGCTGCATAGACTCGTTAGGGCTGAGGATTTTTGTTTTTCTTTTAAATCCTAGTTCTTAGGACTTAGTGCCTCTTTTTCTTGGCTGCCTTAGCTATTTGGGCTCTAAAATATTAAGTATACACACACAGAGTGAATTAGTGTCTAGTAAAGGGTAAATGTACTTTGTGTGTTTTTTGAAAGCAGCCATAAATAAGTACATGTCAAGGTCCAAACATAGCTGACCTCAGACTCAAGGGCATCTTTCTGTGCAACTCTCTGCTGTGATTCTGCTCAGCAAAGATCCTGGAGTAAATCTTCGAGGACTTATTTGAATTCATACTGATTTAAAGTTTCGTATCTGACACATGTCTGCTGGCTCTGCATGGCTCTGTTTTAAGAGACTTGCACTCAACCGAAGCTGACTTTTGTATCCCCACACTCTCTGCTCCTACCAGGGGGCCAGTGGCAAAGTCTGGAGACATTGTGGTTGTCACAGCTGAGGGAGGGGTTTTCTCCTGATTCTAGAAGCCAAAGATGCTGTGAAACAGCCCAAATTTCACATGATGTAACAAAGATTCCCAGAGTCAATAGCACTGGAATTGGAAACCCCACAGGTCTCGGCCATCCTCCTGTAGGCCTCATAATTGCTACGAATTCCTGTTTCACTCCTTGTTCAGCCAATGCCACAATGTGTGGAAGGTTTGCACAGGCCAGAACATTTGATCATTTCATGTAATTCTGCAAAGTAATTCATTCTAAAACAATTTGCCAATAGTGTCTGTGAAACTATAGATTTAACGTTCCAATCATACTTTAATTTTTAAAAAACTTGTATTTATGTGTATGTGTTGTCAGCGTGAATGTATGCAACGTGTATACAGGTGCTCAAGGAGGTCAGAAGATAGTATTATATGCCCTGGAAATGGAGGCACAGGCAGCCACTAGCCACTCTATATAGGTGCTGGGAACCAATCTTGGCTCCTCCGGAAGAGCAGCAAGTGCTCTTAGCTGCTAAGCCACTTCTCCATCCCTCAGTACCATTTTTTAAAAAACACATGTCAAAGTAAAAATGTAACCACGAATGCTGAAATGCTTATCCACACTCCTGTTAAAAGTTCTCCACAGATGACTCTGCCTGCCTGAGTGTAGCTGTGGCTTTGAAGGTGTCCAGCTCCAGACACCGCTTTGTGGTTTGACGCTCTGCAATCAAACCCTTGCCAAGTTGGTGAGGCAGGCAGTTTGTGGACACTCTACAGATAGGGTGCCTGTTCAATGATAAAAGCAAAAGCAAACAAACCAAAACCCAGTGTAGGTCCTGTGCTGGAACAGGGAATAGCCAATAGGGAGGAGGTGCAAGAACTGGCATATTTTATGTAAGCTGTGCATTTCCTAACTTCATCATGTCTATCACAAAAAGCGAGATATATCTAATGTGTGTAGGTGTGTGAGGGTGAATGCCTGCAAGTTATTGAGTTCAGAGAGACACACCAATCTCGCTCTGTACACTTTTGATTTGTACACAGGATGCCACGGATGATTGCCTTTTAATGCAGCTCTCAATGCAAAGACACTGGGTTCTGACATCCTGAGTGCTGTAGCTCAGGTGACAGAGTGTTTGCTTAGCATTAGATCATTAGCCTTGATCCCCAACAATACATAAAATTAAGTGTTATGTCACATGCCTGCAATGTCTGCACTCTCCAGCTACAGACAAGATCAGAGGTTCAAGCGCATCCTTAGATACATAGCAAGTTCAAGGCCAGTGTGGGCTACACAATACTTTCTCTCTAAAAAAAAAAAAAATCAAAATTAAATGTTCTTTGAGACAGGCAGGAGAGACTGTCAGTTACTAAGGTGTACAGTCTTTCTCTTAGGGACACCTTACCCCCTTTCTTGTGCCCTGGGTCCCTCTCTACTCTGGGAGGGGCTGGTTGTACCTAAAATGCTTCCCAAGGTCCCCGAAGTTGTTTGTCATATGTCAATTTAATTGTCATTTTCTCTGGAGAACCTTCCTGATGTTAGAAGAAACACCTTGAATGGCATCTTTCAGTGTGCGGAGAGTTCTCCTGAGAAGCACCGCACATCACCCAGGACAATCCAGAAACAGCTTCTCTAGGTAAGTTCCTCGCTAAGCCACCCCTGGAAAGCAAAAATCACACAAGATTCCAACCTTCCTGAGTTTGGAATGGAGATGGAGACAGGCTTTGCTTTCAGAGCACATGGCGTTAACAACAAAATGTATGAAACACTCTTCCATTACAAACAAAAATACAGACAGCTGGTGTATGCCAAGGCACCCTCGGCCTGGTGCCCACACCGGATGGCTTCCAGATGAAAAGCCTCCTGTGCAAGGGACCATGTGAGCTGCACCATGGACATCAGTTGACATACACCCCACCCCCAACTCTGTAAAGTTGTTCTGCGCTTACACACGAGGAAACGAGCCAGATAGCTTAACACAGCCAGTAGCCGCTGAACCCAGGCTTGAAATCCTCCTTTTGTGTTTGGTCCCATGCATCTTTCAGCTCTTGAGGGAGGGCCAATGGTACCGAACTACTTAATGATGCTGGGTGAGAGGGCCTGGGGTTCCTCTGAGGTGAGGTGTATGGTAGGATCCCATGGGTCAACAAGCGGCTGCACAGCAGGAAATGCCAACCGTGACAAGGGCTTGGGGAAGGGATGGGGACCGCACCTGAAGCTGCATGTTTGTCTGAGTGAGCTCTTCTGCTTTCTTTTCCAGTGACATCACCCAGACCTTCCTCTTCTGTCTGCAGCGGGTGGCGGCAGCCCGGTTCCTTTCCAGAAACTTCCTCCGCCTCTCATCCGGGTCCTCATCCACCACCCTTCGCCGGCGCCCCCCTGTGGGCTGGGGCGGTTGTATTGTCTGGGTTGGTTGCATCTGTTGCGTGGCTGGTGAAACCTGAGGGGAAGGAGACAGGAAGTGATGGGGACAGGGAAGGACATGTTGGATAAGGAAGACTCCCAAGCCAGTGTTACGAGAGCAAAGCTCAGGAAGCCAGCTGCTTTTGAGTAAGCACATGAAACTTGTTCTCAGTGAATAGAACAAGCAATGAAATCACATTAGTGAGAGCAAAGTCTCTGAGCTACAGTCTACGTATTTGGATCAGATATAGGTGGGACTAACAGAAGGGCATAAGCGGGTACATTTTTTTTTTTTTTTCCAGACAGGCATTTGAAAGATCATGGGAAGAGGGGACCATTTTGTTTGTCCTTCGGGTATTAAAAATGTTTTATTGAAGATGCTTTAAAAAACATTAAATTAGTATGGACTGCTACTGAGTAGAAACAGGTGATGTCAAGGTTATTTCCATAATAGTGTTTTAGTGTTGTTTGTTTTGTTTTGCAGAGAATCTTGTGGCAGGCTGTGGGCTCCTTTGCTTCCAAACGTGTTTAAGTCACATCAGGGAAGCACACCTATGGGACACTGTCACTGTCACCCCTGGAATCCTATGGAAGAGCCTTGTAAATGCAGAAGGCAGTTGCGGTCCTGTTTCCTGTTCCGGTTTTAGTACCTAGGACTAAAGCCCTACAGACTCCAGGCAGGTGTGGTCTTCAGGGTGCCCAAAGCTCTGATTAAGGAGGAGGAGGGAGTCTCAGGAGTCTCAAGAGACTTTTCTAGTGACTCGGGCAGGGTCTGGTCTCGGAAAGCTGGCAGTCGTTGCCAGAACTCCTCCCCTTTGCGCGTGGCAGGGTGAGACAGTGGGGACAGGTCGCCTGACATATACCTACATTGTAAAGGAACACTGTGAGTGGTCACATACTTTATTAAAACGTTTTACTAAGCTTTGAGACTCCTTGTAAGGTCTACATGGGACTCCACAACAAGGAAAGGTTGGACCCCCACACAGACAGCTTTATTTCCCTCAAAGAGGCAGACACAGTACCTTGTGAAATTTCTACAACTCTTCTTTATATGTCTGGGCACCTAATGTTTTCGCTAATGCACCTCAGTCCTTCCTCCCTGTCCTGCCCCTCAGTCACCCAAGTTTACAGCTGTAATACCTATAAAGTTGCTTTACAAGAGACATTTAACCTACAGAAATAACAGGCAAAAAGTTTTCAAAAAACTAAGCTCAAAACCTTTTGCTAACACATTCCAACTCTCTGATAGAAATCAATCAGAGTGACTGTAATTGTACTAATAGTGGCTTCGGGTTGACATCGGTTGACTGATGGTGATATATTTTAGCCCTAAACTCGGTCCAAACCTTCTATGACTAAACTATAAAAGAATCAGGCTCAGGAGGTCAGTCGGATTGCATCTCTGTAATTTCATCTAAAGCCAAGGGATTTTCTGAAACTCTTTATTGACAACCCCTTTCTGCCCAATCACAGAGGGATCACAAAATAAGTAAATTTTTCTAAGGTCTTACTCATGGGGGTGGCTGGTGATGACATAATCTTTGCCATTGGCTGAGATGTAGCAAAGTGTGTCATGTTGGATGCTGACCCCTGAGTTAGCTCCTACAGAACCAGGCAGCAGGAGGAGGAAGTACGCTGGCTTTTTGTTACTGGAGCTGTTTTCACATCTACTTTTCTCTTGTGAGATCTCTTGCTACCAGTCACAGCAAGGACATCTCACTGCTATGAGCTACTCCTCTGACATCAATCCCTTATACTCAGACACCTTTCCTGTACCTCCAGCCTGTGTGCTAACTGAGGGGGAGTTCAGGCCCAACATGGGTCCAGGGCTTGCCCTGGGGAATACTGGTTAAGAAACATTCCTGGTGACGATGAACTTCCACCAGGATTCTGAACTCACACCTAAATCGTGCAGGGAAATCACAGGCAGCTGTGAGAATATGAAGATACAGCCTAGAACCAGACAATCTGTACTCCTGTTAATCCCTGTGACTCAGCGTTTATGTTCCAGATGGGAGTCCTTCCTGAAGGCCCTTAGCAAAGCTGCTTTGAAAATTTTGATTAAAAAAATAATAATAATGAACAGCAATGTGAAGAAGCCAGAATTTGCCCCAAATTCACTTAGACTTTCAGATTTGGAAGGATCAGAAGTTTCTGAACCTGCTATTCAGACTATCATATAATTGAAGCACTCAAGGAGACATTATTAATAAGCATCCATGTACATATAACATAAGAGTGATTCTTTAGAATACCGTCGAAATGATCCCCAGATATGGAGTCTTTCTTTTTAGACTAGGATTTAGAAAAGAAACTCTGGGTGCAGCTAATTACAATAGCAATTAGCTAATTGCAGATACAATTGGGCACTTACTGACTTGAAACAGGGCAATTGGCTAATTGGCACTTAGCTAATGAATAGCTTTCATATTTTAAAAAACTGTTAAACTTGTCTCTGAAATAACTTGCCCAGAAAGGCTCCTAAACCTTAATGTCCTTATACTTCAGTAACAAACACAGAGAGAATGGACTGCCTTTGTCTGGGATGGTTTTCTCTTTCCTTTTTGAAGCATATCCCAGTATAACAGTTAACTAAAATGTGAATAAAAATACGCTCTGGGGAATATGTTGTCACTGAACTACTTGGTAAACTTCTTTTGAATTATTTGAGTTTTAGAATTGATCCTGGCTAACATGTCTTGAAAACTTTTTCAGAGCCTCTGTGCCTCCAAACTAATGATACCCTATAAATGTAATCTGGCACTATCACAGTTGGCAATTGGGAAAGCTGAGGTTTATGGGGTTTATCTCTGTTCACAGTCACCAAAGTCAGTCAAGAAAAGAGCTGGTTTTGTGCTGTACAGCTCAACTCTTCTGGCCGTGGAGAGCACCACCAACTGTCCTTGCAAAGGTAAGTTTATCTAGCCCATAGGTTAGGAAGTTGCCTGTGGCTGACCCGCACACTCCACCCCTTTTACCTTTCCTGGCTTGGGTTTCTTAGAGCAGAGAGCTCAAGAGCTCAGAGCATTGCCTGTTCTGGAGCTGGCCTCCAGAGGCAGACAGCAGAGGAGGGAGTGAATAAGCATTCCTTGGCAGATCCTACCTTCCAATGCCACTCTGACCCAGCTGGTCAGGACCGGGCAGTGTGGAATGGGTGGAGGAGACTGGGGAAGGTCATCTTGCTTGAGTTCCCAAAGTGACTTGGGCTCACCGCACTCTTGGACACATCACTCAGCTACTTAGGAAAACCCAAGCCTGTACAGGGACTGGCTTGTCTTCTTAGCCTGGGTGACATAACGTCTGCCTGGTCCCCCAACTCTCTTTAAGTGCAGTCTGCATGCTTGTTCTCTTGCATGCTTGTGTTCTTGCTGGTCAGCCTGGTGACTCCACCCACCCTTGGGATCTGACCTTTCTCTTGGTCTGATCAACTGCAGAGCTTGGCTGCCTGTCCGCTTCCACCAAGATGTTCCACATTCAGGGATGAGTCACCTCTCATCCCCACAGCACCTTGTGTCCTAGCATCCCTTGATGAGCTTCTGAGCTTCTTCATTGTCGGGGAGTGGCACCCTTCAGCTGTATAACTGCTGACCTAACGGTCCCTTTACTTAACATCTTTCATGAAAGTCCCCCACCTCTCTCTGACTGCTCTGCCTGCCCATATGCCTACATGCCAGAAGAGGGCAGCAGATCCCATTACAGATGGTTGTGAGCCATCATGTGGTTGCTGGGAATTGAACTTAGGACCTCTGGGAGAGCAGCCAGTGCGCTTAAGCACTGAGCCATCTCTCCAGCCCTGGTTAAGTTTCTCTTAATTCTCCTATCAGCATTACCTATATTTTTGGACAAACCTTATGACGCAATTCCCAAAATGTAGGGTTTGGAGAACTTCAAGTTTTCATTTGTTCCCTAGAGACTGAAGCTGAAACTTACTACATTGTTTATAGAAAGTATGACCCAATCATGTCTTATTATTCACGGACACTTCCTAGGAAGCGGGCAGCCCCCCGCCCCTCCCCCCAGAGTGTCAGATGGAGAACGTAGGCTTATCAAACAAGGTAGCAGCAGATGACGGAAGCAGAGTTAGTGCTTGCACTGTTAACATGCCAAGAAGAAATGCTGGTGAAAGTCTACCTGTGCTTGGTTGCCGGAGTGCAGGGGTGGGTGTGGCGAGGTCTGGTGGTGTGCTGGGTGTGCATGAAGGTGGGAATGGGAGTGGTGATGCGGGTGGTTCTGCTGGTGGTGAGGCTGTGGGTGGGGATGGTGTGCAGGGTGCTGGTGCTGGTGCGGGTAGGGGTGGTGGGGTGGCAGTGTCTGGTGCTGATGCGGGTGCGAATGCATGTGGTGGTGCGGCGTCTGGTCTTGCCGGGAGCCCATCATCTCCATCATGTGTCCGATGGTGCTCATGTTCCCATTTGACATGGCAGCAGGGTGGTGAGTCAATGCAGCCTTCAGCCTCTGAAACAATAAAGGGGGGAGGAGGTCACTCATGCACACAGTGAAGATTTTGAAGCAAAACAACTCATAATTCAGTTCTATAATATTTTTGGTGCTATAGTTATGGTAGTTTTTGTAAGTGCGTACCTTTATAGAATCTTGCTTTTTTAAAAAAAAAGCATATTGTGATAGGTAAAGGGTCACTCTCTGCTCTGTTAACTCAACTGTTACATCAAATGCACAGGATGTCCTAGCAACGTTTACCAAAAGGTATTTCCTACTGTGGCATTGATCACCAGGTCCTATTGTAGCAAAATGTAAGTACAAACCAAATGAAGCCATGTGATACATTAACACCATTAATGTGGGAACCACTTTATCTCACAAAAGATTCCTCAGATGCAAGGAAGAGACCACATCAAATGTTACCTTGAGAGTTCAAATCAGCCTTAGAAGTCCATAGGAAATGTGCAATGCCTTTGCATTTATTACCATGATATTTCATATGATCCCTCCTGATAACTGTATTTTTTCACACACAGTAACTTCCATCTAACTTTAAGCATGAAGTGAGGAAAGTAGAATGGTCTGTGGTACTGCACATCGCCGTCTGTGAGGCCACCAAGGTACATGCCCACCAAGAAACTCCCTTCATTACAAAACAGCCAAGCACACCAATAGCTTCCACCTGAACCCAGAGCAGAGGCAAGCCCATGTTATAAGACAGATTTTTCTCCCCACTGTGAACTTCACTGTCTAAGTTCAGCAAGCCTAACTCCCAAGCAGCTGTAGAGGATGTATAAATGGCCATGCCTGCTATTCTGCCGTGCAATTTTATTTACATACAGGAACTTGACATTTCATATAATATTCACAAAATGAAGTATTAGTTATGCTCCTTCCTTCCTTCCTTTTAGTCTTTCTGCACCCAATCACGTAAAATGTCAAAGCCATTCTTAGCTTATGATATGTACAAAGTTAGAGTACAATGTGAGATTTGGCCTGTGGGCCGGGATCAGTGGGCTATCAATAATAACCCAGTTCCCTCAACCTCGTTTTCTGCGTGGAAAGTTATCCTAATTCTGAGGGCCCCTGGTGTGCTAAAACACTGTAATGTAGTTACTCTTGGAAATGGATGCTGGGAGGACCTGAGTGTCTAATTGGCAAGCACACTCACATTAGCTCCAGGAAGACTAGTGGGCTCAAGTTCTCTCCAGATTTGCCTTACCAGATGATAGCACTGAACATCACAGTGATAGAGGACAGCCTTCGGATGAAAACAGATGCCACGGTACTCGAGTCAGCACATCAAGCATTCTCAACCAATTCAGCTTAACTTAAACACAAAGTGCCTCCAGAGGGGGCCAGGATGGAATACAGTGTTGCCACAGATCATCATTACAAATATTTTCTGTATCTTGATTCAGCAACCACTGAGTCCATTACACCTCTCAGGATGAGCAGTAGCCATTGCTGGGCCAGCATCAACTTGCTAAGGACAGTCAGGAGGAAGGTGAGCTTCCTCAGTCCTGGAAAAGCTTAGGCCTTGGGCACTGTGTTTACTACTAAACAGAAACATGAACTGATACTCCTCAGATCTGTGATGCAAGATGATGTCATTGTTTTTCTAAAAATAAACAAACAAAATGCTCATTATAAGAAATTTAAGCAATGCTTAAGATTGTAATACGTCAACCACTTGGAGCCAGTGTGCAGCTCAGACTGTGGGTGAGCAGCCGGGCTCCAGAAGCCCACGTTTGTAGAGGAGGGACAGGTGGGGTAATTGTAACATCAGAAATTGCTATGAGTGTTGGAATGGAATGAATTGCTCCACACAGTGCTTTTTTCCTTAACCAGAAAGTCTCTGAATGCTGTTTCAGGATGTAAAAGAGAGAGAGAGACAAGTATGAACGAGATTATGTTGAAGTTGTGCTTTAAGTTGGCTTACTGCATAGTAACGATGGGCCTTAAAGTTTCTTTATAAAAAAGATATAGGCTGGGCTATATGCAGACATGCATGCACACATATATTTGCATGCAGTTTCATTGCTTAAAAAAAAAAAAACTGGTACAAGAGTACTATGTGAAAAAGTAAAAGCCACTTGCCTACTGTTCTCCCTTTAATCCCTAATCCCATTTCTCTGCCACTGCCATGTGCCCTCAAACAACGACTTCTACAAAGTTTGTTATATATTGATTTTTGTTACCCTTTTATATCCACGAAAGTAGCCAATATGAATGACCAAACATTACCTGAGCGCTGGCCTATTCTCACTCTGTGTTTATAAATATGAAGTCCCTAGGCTTCAGGACAATGCTACAGGGGTAACACAAAGGTCAAGGCACATGCTCAGGTGTGGCTGCTGGTAAGGGGCAGGTACCTTTCTCTGAATGGGAAAGTGAGTGTGGGAAGCCATGCCATTCACCCTCTCCCGGAAGCAGGGAGTAATTGTGTCATGGCACTTCCCCCGCACCTAGAAGAAAGACAGAAACAAAAGGAAGAGCTAGTAGAGGTGGCAACATAGAGGTCTCGCTGCAGGCTGCAAAAGCAGACATGTGTGCCTGACACTCAGCAGGCGGCTGGAGATGAAAGGCAGTCTGCATGTAGGAGGAAGGGAAGTGGCCGGTGAGAATTTCTAGGAAGTCTACTCCAGCACAGGGCCACCCAGGGTTGGGCATCTTCTCTCTCTTCGTATTTATGAGGAATTCATCCTTACAGCCACTCACACCAAAACAGATATGGTAGGCCTTGGCCAGGCCCTGCTCTCCCCAGTTGACCCCTAGGACCCAGAGAAGCATCAAGGCTTCTTTGATGCCCTTGTCTAAGCTGGCTGTTCCTTATCTTCAGAAATTCTGAAGACATACATAACACTTAGCTCCAGGCCGCTCCCTAGAAAAATCTCCCCTGCTTTCTGCTCAGTCCATTCCCATTGATGTATGTTCCCACCATAGCCATATACCTTTAAGAAAAACATTGCGTCTGTTGCTCTATAACTTTTAGGGTGATTATTCCATTAATATCCATTCATCACCCAGATCATGATTATTTTTGGATTTCTTTAAGTGTTAACTTACCAGCTTCAGTATAGAGACTAATACATAAATAGATATGAAATTGATATATGAATAAATGAACTGTCATTCCAAGGCTTACAATGGAGACATAGCATTTTTGTCTTGGAATATCACACATGGGTTTTATTCGGAGGATTTTATATTTGTTAGCAGAAGTCACCAAGGTAGTGGACCCCCTAGAAGTGATACCAAAGGACCCACTTCCCCCATTACCCAGCCTTCCCCCTAGAAAATGGCAGAGAAAAATAAATGGCTGAGAGGGTGCACAATAAATTCATCTTCATGTCTCTTTGAAATCAAAGTATGGAAAAACCAAAAGCTGTGCTGGAGTGGGCTATCGTGTTGTCTCTTCAACGCTACAACTGACTTTCCCACCTTTAATTAGGAGCAAATGGAGCCTGACAAATACATACTGTGTACCAGATCTTCATCTCTCAAATAATTAGCTTGTACTGGTGAAGGGAAATTACTTGATTGCCTCAAGTCTGTTCTTGTATGTTCCAAGCCAAGGCAATAACACTAGCAACGCTAATAACATTCCATTTAACTATTTATTCACCCAGCAAATATTTATTAGGTTTTGACTGCATGCCAGCACTGCACTGGGCACTTGGTTATTTGCTGTCTGCAGTAAATGGAAGATACATCAAATCAGGGCTTTTAAAAACCAGCAGAGAGAACAAATACACTATGATATGGCAATGGAGACTTTGGCTCCCCTTAGAAAACCCTGGGCCTGGGTTGAGTTTATCCTCCAGCTCTCATCACAGTTGAAGGCAGCCAGTTATGCAGCTGCCCTGCACATGTCCTCTCCCACACCCCCAATGCCACTTGAGACCAGTTTGGGGCAGTTCTTACAGTCCTGGAACCGCTGTTCCCCTGTGTTCTGGGGCCAAAGGGAGCACATGTACTGTGAACCATTAAAATACCCCCAATATAGATAAATGCACCCACTGTCTGAGGTATGATAAATGATCAACAAAGGAGGCCAAGCTGTATTTTGCAGAATGAGCTTTCTTTGTGAAGCTGAGAGGTGTCTCGTTTTAAATAATACCCTGTCAAATGCCAGGAAAAGGCAAGAGCGTGAGACGGACATTAATGAACAAATAAACAGATTCGTTTTCAGCTCTAAAAATGAGGCTGGGACTGCAAGAGAGAAGAGAGAGGTTCGGTTGGCTTCTACCCTGGCCCCTGACACACAGCTGCTTTCAGTCAATGAAAGGTCATCTTCATTCCAGCCATGTTTCACCAGCTGCTTGCTCGCTGTTCCGGGTGGGAGTGTGGGCCTGTTGCCTTGGCAGTGAGTCCCACTAGGACATTAGCCGTCCACTCCTTTGCTGGGCGCCAGGGTGCCAGGTCCTCTTGCAGTTAGCTCAGTTTGTAACCCAGCACACCTTGGGAACTCCAGATACTCGCACATCAGCAGCCTCACAAAGCATGTGGGAATACGCGCTTGTGTGAGTATACACACACCCACATACACAACACAAGCATGGCACATACACACCCACACACACACACCCCAGGCAGTCTTTCTCCCATTAGCAACTTGTTCACGCCAATTAGAAACATTTGTGTAATTATAAAAGCTCCTTCAGTGAGGTGGATTGCCTATGTTCATAGCCTCAGAAAGCCACGCCAGATTCTTAAATTTTACTTGAAATTCAATTGGGTGGGAGGTGGGGGAAGGTGGGAACATTCTTTCTGGAAGGCTTGTAATTATCAAGCCTTTGACATGTGATTACACCAAAATGTAGTTCCGGGCTCACCACAAGTAAAAAGCTAGCTATATACAAATGTGGCAAAATCTGTATCACTGTTTCTCACATTTAACGCAGTATTGCTACTGTTGGCATCCTCAAAACATTTCTTCTTTCTTTAGCATCCTCCACAGAGCTATGCCAAGGAAGGGGTTACTACCAGCTTCTGATTGTGCTCAATGGTGT